CCCGCACCTCGCTCAGCCAGAGAGTGGGAACCGGTCTGTTTGCGGGATCCAAACCCTCGACGGGAGCGCCGCCGCGCTCTCAAGCGGCGCACTGTAGCAGTGCGCCACCGGGCCGGCCCTGAATTTTAATCCTTGACTTGGTGTTGTCAGCACCACGCTCAGCCAGTGAGCTAACCAGCCATCCCTATATGGGATCCGAACCCGTGGCCTTGGTGTTATCAGCACCGCACTCTCCCAAGTGAGCCACAGGCCGGCCCAAGTTTCAACAATTCTTAACCAAGTGCATAACAATGTCCCTGCTGAGCCAACTAGAACACAGAGTCTGGTTATTTCTGAGTTGATTCCCTCTGGGCTCTATACCTGTGAGTTGATATGCTGAGGGCATTTTGGTTTTGAGGCTGAAAATGAAAAGGGATTGGTACAGTGGTTTTGGACAGTTAGGCAAAGGATTCTAGAAGAATGGAAGGGGTAACATAGCAAACGGAACACCCTACATGGCCCGATGGTCTGGTTTAACATCCCTAAGGAGACAGTTGTGAGACTCAGACAGAAGAACTGCTTTAGGGCCCAGATATCAATGTGCCACATAGTATGGGTGGGAGAGCCATCCCCTTCCCACTGTTCATCACAGACTACAGTGCAGCTACTAGCAGAAGACCTCCATGCCCAGCCCAGATACCTTCTGAGGGCAGCTGGGCAGTCTTGGCCAGTAAGCTGGGGTAGAAGGTGTTCTTGTACATCCATGAGATACCCACCCACCTGGGGGCTTCCTGAAATAGCCAGGGAGATTACAAGGGTAGAGATGAGATCCTGCATACTAAATTAATTCAATAAGTACTTATTGAGCTCTCCCTCTGTGCTAGGTAGAGAATGGGTATGTTCTAGGTATATGAGATACAGGAGTGAACAAAATAAAGATCTTTGACCTTGTGGAACCTATCTCCCAGTAGGGGAGATAATAAATAACAGACCTAATAAAGACTTAAATGACATAGAAAGACAGAAGGTGATAAATGCTACGGAAAAAGTGGAGCACATAAGGGGGATGGGTGTGACGGGAGGGTCTGGGAGGGTGGAGGGGCGGGGTGCGTGGAACGAGTTGCAGTATTAGAGTAATGAGTGTGGGCCACATAAGCAAAGACTTGAAGAAGGTGAAGGAATTAGCCGTGTGGATATCAGGGGAAAGAGCCTTCTGGGCATATAGATTTGCTAGTTCGATGGCCCTGAGGCAGGAGAGGGCCTGGCAAGTCTGAGGAGGAGTGAGGATGCCAGTGTGGCCATAGCACAGTGTGAAATGTTGGAGGCCACAGAGGTATCAGGTGGCTAAATCCTAAAGCCTTGTAGGCCATTGGAGGGTCTTTGGCTTTTTATCTGAATGAATTGGGGGAGCCACTGATGTGTTTTAAACAGAGGAATGACATGATCTAGGTTTTTTTTTTTTTTT